ATTTATGTTCAATTTTTTTTTATTAAATTAAAGTTAGATGAAACAATTACTTAAGTGGAGAACAAATAGCTTTGTAATAATTTATTATGCGATTTTATAAATTTTTGTTTATTTGATAAGATTGAATAAACAATTGGGGCTATTTTAATAGTTTTACAACTTATGAGATTTTTATGTTTATGAGAAAATATACAACACAAAAATTTCATATCGCATGTCCAAACAAAACTTCAAATTCATCTCATGATTCCATATCATGATTCTATATCATGATTCTGTATCATGATACCATATCGCATGGCCAAACGGGCCCTAAAAAATCCCTTCTTACTCTCCGGTCTATAACAGAGTTTGGGGAAAGCTAGTTATGATTCACATTTATTACAATGTATATATGTATTCAGGTTTAAAAGTATTGATATCCTTGAAGTTTAAAAGGAAACAATAAATTACACACTCGAGATATATGCTGCAGTGATTCTGGTGCTTAGAAGGAAAGTAGGTATATGACTTACAAAAAGCTCATTCGTTTTAGAGCTTCAGTTAAATAATTTTCTTAGTATATCCTTATTTCACTAAAAAAAAAAATTCAGGTATGAAATTCAATGATACTAACTGATAAATTGAGAGGTTTTCAACATCAGCAGCATTTTGAATCGTCGCTCTTGCTCGTGCCAGTCCTTCATCTATCTTATCATTATTCCTCTGTGGAAAGTTCCAGTCGAAAAATACTGGCCAATAACAAACGAAAACTGAACTTTGTAGAGTTCCAGACATACAAAAACTCACCCTACACAAACAAACATGAAGATAACTGAACGAGTTCCACAAATTCAAAAGCTTCAAAAGTAACGTTTTCCTAAAATATAACCTAAACTTCATTACTATACATGAGAAGCCCCAATTCAGCAAGAAACCGCAAATAAACAGAGAAATCCAAAACAACAGCGAAATAAAATAAAAACCTACATGCAATTCAAAGCACACACATAGGAGCTTACACAAAACTAAGAAATGGTGAAGATGAAAACGCCAATTGCAGAAAAACATAAAAGTTAACCCGAAATGAAAGGTATATTATGAACAGATAAATACCAAATTCAAGCTTCCATGGTCCGATTGGAAGAACTTCGCCGGGTTTTGGAGACTGGCGAATGAGAGAGAGAGAAAAGTGCATTAGATTTGGAATGAGAAACCAAAACAAAAAATAGGGATTTTTTTTTGAAGTGTAGGGCGCAAATTCATCGTCAAGGTAGCAGCGGTTTAAAACGGTTAATTCAATACATTTTGCGGCGATTAGCAGAGTCATTTTTTTTTCTTAGCACTTGCAAAATGAATTTTTTAATATGTGGTAGCAACATTTTGTGATTTACCATTGAAATATCGGTTTGTTATAAAAATGACTCATTTATATTCTATCGTTTTATAAATGACTCAAAAAATATTTTTTTTCGTCTAATGGAATTTAAAAAATTAATTATGTTTTTAAATCCATATATTAGTATATTTGATTTTTCTAGCAATGTTCATGGGTATATTTAAGAATCTTTCTCACACGTGGAATTTAGCAAGCTTACATCTATAAAACTTTGTCAAGACTACAAGTTCTTTAAAAATAAAATTGGCCTCGACAAATCATATCATACTTTTAAGGAAAAAAATGTTCAATTTTTGGTTCACAAGACCATGCTGTAGATAAAAGATATTTGAAGTTTGTCAAACTCCCATTAACACAAAATTTTGCAACTTTAGTGGCACATATATATATATGTCTAAAGTTGTTCCCAATGGTTAAATTTGCAAAAAATTTAACTTCGGACACAAATTAAATAACAATTCCAAAAATAAGTATTTATGCATTTCATTTATTATTATTTTGATAGAGAATTATATAACGTAAAAATCACATTATTATATGCCTGTGCTACCTTGAAGAAATTACCATACTATACCTAAACAAACGTATAGCAGCAAAATATGAATATGTCCTTTCCTCGAAGATAACATAGGTCATCTCTCTGGTTATTCCATAACAAATAAAAATTCTCAGATTTTTTCTTTTGGTGTTAGAAATTGGCTTATTTATTTGGAATTATTTTGTAGAAGACGAGGTTAAAATTGAGTGATTTTATTAATGCAATTCAAGATACATGATGTTATATTGCGTAATTTTATTCATTTGAGTGACTATTCAAGAAATGTGTAAAAATAACAGAACAGGAAGAAAAAAAAAAAGAATAGGAGGGAACTTGCTTATAGTACAATGTTAGGGAAGTTAGATTTAAATCCAGTGAATTGAAAAAAACTTGTGCAACGCTCTCCTCGATCGCTAGCGTGCAAGCATACGCAAATCCTATCAAAATCCAATGAAACAAATTAATTAAGCATGTTTTGAAATTTCAGTCAACTATTGATGGCGGATCAAAAGTGTTTTTTTAATTGATTAGTCGAATATAAATAATTTCTCATCAAAAGTACTTCTATAAGTTGATTTTAGAAGCTTGATCAAATAGACTATAGATACAATTTTAACAAAAGCTTTGTGTTTTACTTTATAATGTCTGGGCAGGTTATTTTTGTAGTCTTAATAACTATGACTCAAGATGGCTCGTATGATCTAGATCATGGATACCCTCTATAGTCATGATCGACATGCGATAATAAATGACTTAGAGCCTGTTTGGATTAATTTAAAAGTTGGTCAAATTTACTTTTAACTTTTGAAAGTGTTTGGCAAGGTTAAAAAATAATTTTTTAAAAAGTTAAAAGTCAAAGGTACGACTCCCTTACTTTTTATTTTTTTCAACTTACAAATCATTTAAATTTGTCTTTTTATTTTTTGACTTAAAAGCTATTTTTTTAAGCCAATCCAAATAGACTCTCAATCTCAATTTTCTTTTTAAAAAAATTTAGCAAATGACTCATATGATTTGCCTAGCATTATATACTTGGTAATAGTGGCACTACTCTTTTTCCTCACATTCTCTGGTTTTTCGGGGATCAGAAATAGAGGGTGTTTAGATTGACTTAAAAGTTGATCAAATCTATTTTTAAGTCAGTTTTTTATTTTATTTTTGGAAGTGTTTGATAAATATAAAATAACTTAAAATAAGTTAGAAGTGTTTGACAAGGTTAAAAATAACTTAAAATAAGTTAAAACCAGAAGTAAGTTCCCTCCTACTTTTTTATTTTTTGACTTGAAAAAAACGACTAATATGATTATTTTACCACATATTCTTATTAATTGAGGTTTATTAAGTGGTAAAAATGACTTGAGAATAAATAATTAATGCAAAAGGTAAAATATGATTTTTTTAAAAATATATTAAAAGTGACAAGTAAAAATAAAAATATATTTTAAAAATAATGGACAAATAAAAAAAAATAGAAAGAGTAACACTCATTGTGTGCATATTTAAAATAAATTGTAAATAATAATATGTTAGAATTACACTAAAAGAAAATCAGTTCATTAATGCTTTTCTGTTCATACAACAGCTTTAGAGAATAATGTAAAAGAAATTTATTGATGTGGTTAATATATATAACTTAATTTCTGTATAAAAAAAAGAATAAAATTAAAACTGAAGAGTGAAGTAAATAGATATACTATTTCATCATTTCACTTTTACCTGTCACATTTAAATTCGTCACACCCACTAAAAAAATAATTATTAATATGATTATTTTATTATACTATTCCTATTTGTTGATGTTTAATATTACGTCTTGAAAAATGATTTTGGAAAATAAGTAATTAATATTAAGTGTAAAATATGAAGATAATTTATTTTTTCCTCATATATTTAAAGTGACAAATAACAGTAAAAATTTATTTTAAATAGTCGACAGAGAAAGTAATTAATAAGTGAAGAAAACTACCACAATTTATAACCTCAATTAAATAACAAAAAAAAAACTCTAGCACTTGTATTTATAATAATATAATAAAATAAGAATTAATAATTACAATAAAAGTTTAAAGTAAATTTAGGACGTTCATATTATGAAGGCCCTTGATAGAATGTATAAGAATACTGTTAAATAAAGTGTATTAGTAATATATGTATCAATAATATTTATATTAGTAATGCTTGTATTAATTATACATAGATCATTTCTTATGCATTATTAGATTTGGTGTATCAAAAAAAACATGTCTGACATAAAAATATTTATTAACAAAGATATCCTTCATAATTATGGTGGAAAGATGTAAAAATGATTTTGAGGGCCAATATAATCTTTAACCATGTTAATGCATACATTAGAACTCTTTAACTAGAAATTCGTGATATTAGTAATACACAATATAATGTATAACTAATACTTACATTGGTTATGCTTTAACATGAAAAAGTGTACCAAACAAGATAGTATTACTAATACAAAAAATTAATACATACATTATTTTTATTTACATGTATTATTTTTAGGGAAAATTGTACATAATGGCAAACTATTAATTTAAAATAAATAAAATAGCTACAGTTTCATTTATTTTCATTGAGGAGCAAATCTCTCGGTCAGTTTGCTATTAATGGGCCCACGAATTTGTATAAGTAAAAAAATGAAAAAAACTGACGTTATTCCCCTTTATACAGTTTCTTCATCTCGTTTATAACTCCACTTTCCTTCAATTTCTCCTAATTTTTCTCCCCAAAATCAGTTTTAAAATTCAAATCTTCACCATCACGTTCTCAATTGCGGTTTCAAAAATTTCAGGTACCGCCAAAACTTATCTCAATCGATTCATTTAAATTTTTGTCTATTTTTTTCCAGTTTTTCAAGCTATTTTTCATATCAATTCATCATCTATACAGAGTTTCATTTACGCAATGGATGCCCAGTCTTCATCTACAAGATTGACAAGAGGTATAGACTTGAATGTCGAAAAAATTGTAGAACAACCATCGTTTTCGTTGGGTCTAACTCAGAATTTTGGAGAGGTTACAGGTTCAATGTCAAAATCCAACACAATGCAAGAGATAAGATCCAGATTTAAAAAATGACCCAATTAGATTGGGCGAAATTGCTGCAAAATCCAAGCAATCCATTATTGAAGGAGGTAAGAAAGTTCAGTCTGATGTTGGGTCAAGTAAAAAAAGGAAAGAAAAAACAACTAATTATACAGGAGAAAACACAAAAAGAAAGGAAGTTGTTTCTGGCTCATTGGAGCATGACGAGATATTTGTATAATCTTTATTTTGTATATGTTGCGATTGTATATTATTCTTATATTTTCTCTGTTGATTTATGTCTTGTACCTGTTTGTTTATACAGTTGTGTATAGTCGCCATGTTTAATATCCAAACTAAATGTATAAAATAGAAATACTTCACTATACATACAAGGTAAACAATTATACATTGAAATTGATTGTATAATGTATAATATTAATAGTTATTAGTAGCATCACAACAATTTCTCTATATATACAGTATAAACATTTATACATTTGATACAATTTTATGCATTGTTTTTGTATAAGTTTTTACATTTGTATAAGGATACTTTTTGTATAATGTTCATTTAGACATACAATTGCACAGAATCATAAATATACAATTGACAAACCTAAAATAATAGACATATACATATACCTATTATATACAGAATCATACATCCAAACTAAGGACGAACCTTCATTGTATAAATATACAAATTCGAAAAAATAGTCAACAGTTTCATATACTTATACAACTCACGACAACACTAATAGGTATATGTATATAAACTACAACGATTTCTATTTTTCATTTATATACATATTCCCAATATACACTTATATAAAGATTATATACACAAATTAAAGCTTTATACAAATATACAATTGATAAAATTGTATACAAATAATAACAATTGAATAAAATTGTATACAAATATACAGATTCATATTTCCAAACCAAAAGACGCACCTGCACTGTATAAATATACAAATTCGAAACAATAGTCAACAATTTCATATATGAATTATACATATCTGACTGAATCATACCAAAACACATATACGTATAAACTCTTAACAAATCATAATACAATTTCATCTTCATTCATAGATTCGACAACAAATATACAAATCCGAACAAAAATATGACTGTGAACAAAGCGAATCTACGACCCAAAATTCAAAATAATCAATAATATCATCCAGAAAATTTGATGATCACAAATTTTGAAATCATAAGTGTTAAACTCTATTACGAATAAAATATACAACTCGGAATCTACATTCAATTTCAATTGATGAAAGTTTTAAAGCAAATCTGATTTTCAATACAAGCTG